AATATAATGGATTCGACGGAAATTCGAACTCGGCTCTCCGATTCCTCAACCCGAAACTTTATCCAAAACTCCACCGTAATTTATTAGCTTGGAATTTAAACTAAAAGAACGGTCATTTTTAAGATGTATTTTAAAATCTTTGTTATTTTATTTTGTAGAGAAGACACACACACACACACACACACACACACACACACACACACACACACATATATATATATATATATATATTAAACAATAAACGGGCTAAACAATAATATATAACAATAATAAATAATATAGACAAGTTTTGTCTATTTATTTTATGCAAATTATTTTCATATCATCTGATAAGCTTAATAACATTATCATTAAAAGAAGAAAGAAAATCACAATATATATATATATAAATATATATATAAATATAAATATATATATATATATATATATATTATTTAAATTTGCAATTGCTACCCACTCATAATATAAACTAATAATAAAGCATATAGACTGCGATCCTTCTTAAATTAAATTAGCTATGATTTTATTAATCTGGTTTAATTATACGGAAAATGATGAAGAACGTGAAAAAAATATTTATAATAAATAAGTTATAGACAATTTTCATCTTTTAAATAAATTCACTATTTACTCAAGCCAATTTTTTCGACAAACTTCACATGGATCACACCAAATTCTATGCAGGCCATTGAATCGACTTTGTGAATTTAGTATTATAACGACTGACTGCTTCTATCTGAGTATACCTGCGAGGACTGTTAAGCAATCCCTGTTGCAGATACTTGCTCAGTCTCAGGCTCAGTTGTCTTTGTTCAACTCCGACAAAACTCAACTGTGGCTTATACTGCAGTTATGCAGAGCGGATCATCGTTATAGCATCTGGGAGATAGCACATTATTTAGTGGGAGCAGCAATTGAAAAATGGCTACAAACCTTTGGTCACTCTCTGCTAGTACAACCTTCGATGGATGGATACTCAGTTAGGTTTCTTTTTTAGCACTAAATAAACTAATAACAGGTAATACCGAAATATTTTTTTTATTTTTATTTAGTAGCTGAACATTCTGGTGCCATAAAATACTGCTTAAACAAACTATAGACTATATTATTTAAATTAATCCTATAATTTGTTTCCAAGCCGCGGCGAGAAAAATATTCCAAAATATTTAAGTAATTTAATCTCGCTTGTTTAAGGTATACTAGTTGCACCTGTAAAAATTTCAATGATTTCCGATTTGAATTTACTGATATATCATAATATTTAATGAATAAATATGCCCTTTTCATAATTACAATATACTCGTGGAAATTTCACCGTTAAATATTTGTGCTTAACAACTGTAACCTTTATGTTTGCAATAATAATCATGTCTATGAGTATAAGATATTATTTAAAGAAGCAACAGGATACAAATGAAAAGATTTAAAATTGACAAGTTTTTTTCCGTTACACTGAAGCAGACGTTAAAAGTAGAAGAGCATTATCTCCTCAGCTATCTTCTCTTTCATTTTTCACTGAAACCAAACAGCGTCACTGTTATGTATTTTACGTCTTTCCTCCTGATCAAAACAGAATAGTTCATTATTTAAGACTGATTGGCAGAATGTTACATATGTGCATTTTTGCTGTGATATTTACCCTGTTTAAGGACCAAGAGCCACTCGAGGTAGAGGGTTAGAGAGTAAGAGGCACAGCTTATGCGGATATGCGTAGAAGGTAACCGTTAACCTTAGACTTGGACAGTTTAAGATTGTAGTGATCGAGAAAGCAACCTTTTGGGAGTCGGATCCACAAGGCTGTGGTTTGTAGGAAGAAGCTGATTGAGTAGAACTTACATCTCACCAGTGGAATACGAATGGAATGAGGCTGGGTCGCTTCAGTGAGCGTGGGGTCTTAGCGGTGAATGTTACGCCTGGTAGAACTAAGGAGTGCAGTTCATCTGAACATTCTCCATGGATATAGCGATAGATCACTGAGAGGCTTCCGATGTCTCGCCTGTTGGAAAGAGATTGTAGAGTGGAAAATAATTCATCACCCAAAAGGACGCAGAGACACTTTTAAACTCTTTCGAGATTGTGAAGTGAAGAGTGGGTAGTATCTGCCCATATATGTTAGCAGCCCACCGTTTTCGGTCTGATATGACTCTCAAAAAGATAGAGGATATCAAAAGGAGTCAGGTACTTACTGGTGCGGTACAGGGAACCGACCATATTTCCAGCATCTTTAGCGATGGATCGTATGTACGACTTCCATTTGCATTGGGATTCCTAGAGTGAGCATTTGTTCATCGTTATTTGTGAAAGATCTGGATCCGGGCGGGCGATGGCGAAAGACAACTAGTTTGTTTTTTGAGGTATTGAAGGGGAGCAGCTAGTTCTCTCTACCCTACTGAGCTGTTAAAGCTAATTCAGAGGAGAGATCAGTTGAAAAGCTCTGGTCATCTAGGGTTTGGATGTACACCTATATACCGTTGTATCATGGGCATAAATATTCACAAATGAACTAAGTATACTCTTAAACAGATCATTTATGTTGCTTAGGAAGAGATTTGGGACTCAGAGGACTGGCCGTTAAGAACTACCTTCAGGGACCTACCCGTTAGGAAGGAATTTATAACTGAGAAAACATTTTTCCAGTGATTTAATAACAAGAGAGTTTGAGAAGCAAATCCAAATCACAATTTTAAGATATTAAATATTGTGCCTTTTATCTGTTATCAGTTTATTTACTGCTAAATAAAATCAAAAAACTGAGCATGCTCTGTGCGCTAATTACCTACTTTGAGCTGGGGGCTGTATTTTTTTGAGTTTCTTTCAGATTCAACTTGGGTTTTGTCAAAACAGTCGGGCTTAACATATGGCATAGTCATTTTTCCATAGTTGCCGAATCTGGTTTTCTCGTTTGAATGAAGTTTTCTATGCGGATGTAACCATTCCATAGATTGTCATTATGTTGGCTTATTAGCGAATCGAAAGTCGGAAAATGTCTAGTTACGTCATTCAGATATGAACTTACTGAGTTACGAATAAAAGGTAGATTTGAGACAAACATCAAAGTCTTCATTAGAACACACCATTGCTTTTGTCGTCGTTCTAGTGTTTAGATAATAGGTTTTCTTCTGTATTTCTTTGTTCCTCCTACTCTGAACGAAAAAATACTTTGCTACTTTTGTTAATAAACAGATATCGTAGAAAGAAAAAGACTGTTTAGTGCCGGACTTATAATTTTCAATTATGAGAAACGGACAGTTGTTAAAGAGAAAATGTCTGGATCATCAAAAGCAAAATACAATAATGTGACAAAACATAAAAATGTTGCTTTTATCTAAGAATCTAGAGTAAATAAAAATAAATTAAATAATAATAGATAATCAATGGAAGTTGACAGAGAAAATTAACAATTATGATGACTTTTCTTGTGCTTGGACTTGTCGTAGAGAAGAGGTTGGAACGCAGATTAAAAGAAGCGAGTAATTTCTGGTCGCATATTTAGAAAGCGGGTTCTGAAAACTAAACAAACCAACCAAAAATCATGTACAGTCGTTGTAAATAAGATTACATTTAGACAGGATGAGCTTCACTAAACGTAGGACCAGATATGTGCTGGAATAGCGATTATTCCAAACCAGGGAAGTATAATGAAAAAAAGAGCAAAAAACAAAAAAATAAAAAAAAATAAAAAAAATAACAAAAAAACAAAACAAAAAAAAACAAAAAAAAAACAATAAAAACAAACATGGTATTGCAATATAGTGATATGTATGTCATGAAGGTGTAATGCAGTGATTCTCAAGTGTGCGCCCTTAAGATCATTAGATTAGCCTTAGCATTCCAGAGAAAGATGTGTCCAGTTATAAGAAATAAATATATTTACTGTATTATATTGCGGTGTGAGGAGGCACGGATTGAGGAATCGGAGAGCCGAGTTCGAATTCCAGTCGAATCCATTACATTCACGTACGAATGGGAAAGGTATTAATCCTCTTCTCCCTCCAGCTATGGGTAAATAGCAGGACAGACTGGGTTCTATAGCCTTGGATGGCAACAAGATGGTAACCGCAAGTTAGCCCGTATTGGTTTTAGAAGCATTTTAGCAACTAATTCATCATTTCGTTCACGTCATGTTGAAACACCGGTTCCCGGACGATCACCGAAGTTAAGCAACGTAGATTCTGATCAGTATCTAGGTGAGTGACCGCTTATGAATACCGCGTACAGTATTTGTATTCACTTATACCCAAACACTCTTGAGAAAGATTTTAGAGATTTTCGACGAAAAGCGTGGCCACTAGGTTTGTACGTGCATTTATGGGACGTGATGAGGAAGTCTTTTCGTACGCTAGATCCTACGTATATCAGGTAACTGTTTCTGATTATTGAGACAGCATAGCTCAGGTTTGCACAAAATATGGCCCGCGGGCCGTATGTGTCTCTTGTGGTATCTAAGGGTTTTTTAAAACAGTCATTTTGTTTGTGTTCATCACAATAAATTCACATACCGATCGTGTACGGAAAATTCAATTTTACGGAAGCATAAATTTATTCAATCCATATTTCAATGTGTTTGTATCTAATTAATCCTTTTAACTTTCCGTAAGGGAAGTAAAATCAAGAATTGTTTCGCAGACCCCACTCTCTATGTTTCTATCTCACTCTTAATCCCCCTCTAAAAATTGCTCTTGGAGGTTCAAGGCCATTTTTTCCCGATCAGTTTGATTCATCACATTTTTAATTGTGCAGCCCCGTAGAGCCTAATATTTCCCCAGAGGTCTCCCAAAACAGTCCCACGTGGAGTTTCTACACTTCGTTTTTCAGGGGAGGTAATTATACACGGCACTTAGCCCATGAATTTTGACATGTTAGTGTATGAACAGTTAAGTTCATTTGTCACATCTTAACGTAATTCGTAATGACATAATTAATCGCTTTAGTCCTTCTTGAAAGAATTGGAACGTGAGCAAAATGATGATTTAAAATCATCATTTCGCTCACGTAGCTTACGGCTACGTCATGTTGAAACACCGGTTCCCGGACGATCACTGAAGTTAAGCAACGTAGAGTCTGATCAGTCTCTAGATGAGTGACCGCTTAGGAATACCAGGTACAGTATCTGTATTCACCTATGCCCAAATATTCTTGAGAAGGATATTAATCTACCTTTTCTCTTCCCAGCTATGGCTTAGTAAAACTTGTATAACTAAATCATTATTATCTAAAAAAAATTCTTACAATTTAAAAAGGGTTTCCGGCTTTAAATAACCTGCAAATGGTTGGTAAGACGTAGCAAATGAGTCAATCAATCGATTCACATAATCTTTATGACCAGTTGGAAAAATAAAATAGGTTTGGCCTTTTAAGAACTCTTAAAATATGGTTAGATCATTCCGGCAGCTACTTACGGTTAGTCACTTGAATATGGGAAAAGAAAAAAATAGTCAGGCTGTAAATCTTGAATCTTAATCAACAAGAAAGTATATCCTTTCTTCATTGGCAATTCGATTATCCACATAGGTAAATAAAAAGAAGGGACTAACCCATTACGTAGGAGTTTCAGGTCATCATTTGAACTCAAAAGGTCTCTTAAGTGTGCTCTTTGATCAGATTGATGGAAAAATTTCATAGTGGAAAAAAAAACCTTAAAAAGTCGACCAATTTAACTGTTGCTCTTTCATTTACTAAATTTCAGATACAAATAAAAGGGTCTTCTGGCGTAAATTTTTCTTTTCCTCTTTGACTGAGAATTTCCATTTTCGATGTGATGAAAGTTTGAAAGTTTAACACCGATGCTGAGTCGGCGATGATGAAATGTAACTTCCCACCTGAAGCAGATGGGCATGCCCGGAAAGAAGCGTCATTCTGAACATGAGAAATCACTCTGATATACAATGTACCTTCAAGCTGAAACAGTTACAATAATAAAATGCACCCATAATGCCTTTAAAATTCTCTAGACATACGGGTTGAACGACCGCTATTTATTTTCATCTTTAAAGATAGAATGTTGCTACTACTGTGTAGATATACAACATATATATTTCCAGAGATCAAAATTATTTACTCCTAGATTCTTGTATATTTTAAAGACAATAAATAAAAAAGATAATTTTTTTGATTGATTATAAAAAACTCTACGGCCTCGACAAATGATAATTTCGCAATATTTTATTTCCGCCCTTTTCAGTAGTACGACATTATTTTCCGAACAATCTGATATGTCAGTAGAATATTGGATTGATCACTAGCGATAGAAATCAACAGGAATTGATATGAAATAGATATGGCCGAGCGGTTAGAATGTTCGCCTTCTCACCATAAGACCCAGGTTCGAATGCCACCAGGGTCGATTTGTGTTGACATTATCGGTCTAAGACGATCCTAGCGAGAGCAACCTTGGAAAGTGCCTGAAAGCCATACTATGGGTTGATCAAATTTTTGCGGGTTAAATTTGGTAGACAAAACACTTTGGGAGCCATCGAGTGCTGGCCTCGTTCAGACTGTTGATCACGCCAGATAACACACTCTCCCCCAGAAACTGCATCTAAGTTCCATTCAGCATCGTTGCAGTATAAACGATAGGTGGTCTCTGTGGGTGTTGAAAAGACACAGACGTACCTGAGCACGCGTCTTCAACTGGGATTGCTTAGTAGATGGCATCCTTGGATACGAATGGCCAGAAAAATAGAAAAGATACGAATAATAAAAAGAATTAACCTTACAATATCAAGGCATAGGAACACAAAGCGGTTTCTTTATAAAATTTACTCTCATATATTGCTACTAACGGGCGCGCACACACACACAAACACACACACACACACATATATATATATATATATATATATATATATGTGGATGCGAAGATGGGGTGATGGATACCGACTCGAACCGAAAAATGGGCGTGATGAGTGCGATTTTCGGCCGAGACCATTTCGTAGACTTTTGCAAAAGTACTTTTCTTCCAGAAGCTATGTTAAATTGGGTTAACTAGACTTCCTAGCTTTGGTGCCAACTATGACAACTTTGAATTCAAAGCACTTTTTGCCCTGACGAGGCACGTACTTGAACTCTAACTAAACTATTGTCGGTATAGGTACAAATTGTCTCTGTGAGATTTGAAGAAACACAAACAGGCCTGTTCAGGACGACTTGTCACCGTCAACTCAACGCCGCCGACTCAATACCGCCAACTCAACACCGTCGACTCAACGCCGCCGGCTCATCACCGCTGACTCATCTCCAGGACAAAGTATGGATTTTTTTGTTAACTTTTTAAAAACAAATAAAAGTAATTTATTTAGGATAATTACATTTGGGTTTAATCGTTTTCCTCATGGCTGAAGAATCTGGCAATGATCCCAGTGTGAAATAAGATACATTTGACAATATTTCACTTATTACTGCAGTTGGTTTTGAACGGTGTCTTCGGTACAACGTTTCAAGGCTGGGTGCACTTTATCCATTTCTATATTGGCTGCTAACGAATTGTGGGAACTTCCTTGATAACTTCCTTTATAACTTCGTATGAATTCTTGCATTGCACCCAGTGTCTTGGGCAAAGTTTTATGTTGCTCTTTCTTTTACTAAATTTCAAATACAAATAAAAGGGTCTTCTGGCGTAATTTTTTCTTTTCCTCTTTGACTGAGAATTTCCATTTTCGATGTGATGAAAATTTGAAAGTTGAACATCGATCGTGAGTCGGCGATGATGAAATGTAACTTCCCACCTGAAGCAAATGGGCATGCCCGGAAAGAAGCGTCATTCTGAACATGAGAAATCGCTCTGATATGCAATGTACCTTCAAGCTGAAACAGTTACAATAATAAAATGTACCCATAATACCTTTAAAATTCTCTAGACACACGGGTTGATCGTCCGCTATGGTTTCCATCCCTAAAGATAGAATGTTACTACAACTGTGTAGATATACAACACATATATTACTAGAGATCAGATTCTCGCTAGTAAGTGACGATAAGATTTCTACACTTCATAACAACCAGACAGGTAAGAAATACTGGAAGATCTTGTAGTATCGTATGAAAATTAGATAGACAAGTATAAATAGAGAACAACTGGCAAACATAGGGTGGCTATGCCTAGCAAACCCGGTTGCTATTCAGGAAATGTTCGTCAAGAAATAGGTATTATCAGACGCAAGAATATTTAGAATATTTGCTTTAAACAGAAATATTTTAAATTAAATCTAAAATCCTATTTTTCGGAACAACTTAACCCATGATATAATTTTAAAAACGCCAAAACCCGTAATATACTTAAAAAAAAGTCTTTTGCTAATGAGCGGAGAAGGATTTACTACGATTTATAAGAGACAGAAATTGTAAACATTTTTTGACACAAAATTTATTCTATGAAGAGGAAAAAGTTTTCATTACACTCGTTTTCGTTTTAAATTGTGATATTCACAGATTTTAGATTTAGGCTGAAGCCAAACGATTTAACTCAAAGATCTTCTGAAAAAAAAGTTTATATTAGAAATAATCCATTTTATGTTTAGTAACAACTGATAACGCTTCATTTAATAATAAAATCCAACTCTGTAAACTAATTCAATTTGCTTTAATTAGATACGTTTTTTGTCTCTTTCTGTTTCAAACCCGGATACTTAACCCCAGGCTGATTTTATTTTATTTTAATCTTATCAGCTGTTTAATTAAACTAAATCAGAAAGGAGGATAAATGCTGGGGATTTTTGACATTATCGATTCATTGGAAATATTCTAAACAAGCCATAAACATTATTTATTTGACGGCAATAAATTTGCAAATGTTAATTTAGGCAGAATATACGCAATAGTACAAATTTGAAAGATTTTTCTATTTTTTTTACAATGATTTTCACGCTTTACAAGGCCGGGGAGCCACTCGAGCTAGAGAGGTACAGAATAAAAGGCACGGTTTTTGCAGATATGTGGGGAACATAATTGTTATCTCTAGACTTGAACAGGTTAAGATTTTAGTGATCAGGGAAGCACTTTCATGGAAATCGGCTCTCCAAAGCGGCTGTTCGTGGGAAGGAGCTGCTCGAATGGAACTTATATCTCACAAATGGAATATGAAGGGAATGGGAATGATTCGCTACAATGTGCGTAGCATGTCGGGTCTTAGCCGTGAAGGTTAGAAATGGTGGAACTAAGGTATGTAGTTCCTTTGAACATTTTCCATGGAAAGAGCGATAGAGTAATGAGAGTTTTTCGAGGTTTCGTCTGGAAGAAAGGGATTGTAGGGTGGAAAATAATTTGTCACCCACATAGACGCGAAGACGTGTTTGGAGTTTATCGAGACTGCAAAGTGAAGACTGTGCAGCTCCGGCCCATATATAGACAAAATACCCCATTTTCCGCCTGACCTGACACTGTTAAACGTAGAGGATAACACGAGGAGTCATGTACTTATTCGTACCGACAGTTTTGATGGATCATATGTACGATTTCCACTTGATGTTTGGGTTGAGTTTACGTCCCAATCGGCGTTCATAGTACGGGACAACCCATCTGTTCATTAGTATTGCTCTTTTTTGAATAAACTATAGGAATCGGTCTTTTTACGCGTCTATTTCTCTTTCTGACAGCATTATGACTTTTTTCTACATTATCCTTCCTTTTTTTATGTCCAATAGTAATTATTATACTTGTTGTTTTGTGCATCAAACTAATCTTTCATTGAATTTCGCATTCATCCGCATATGGCATCCGCTCGGCATCATGGAAATTGATCTAGCTAGACCTTCCAGTATTTCACCACTGTCGTATATATTTCTTTTATCACTTATCAATTCAAAGGCCCTCTAAGAGAATCAACATTTATTTGACCATTATCATCTGGTGTTTTTTTTTACTTTCTTTTCAACATTTCTGTTTTTAATTTCGATAGCAGTTTCAAAATTCACGTTAAATAAAGATAAGAGAATCTTCTCCACTTGGAGTTTTCACGTAATACAATCTTCTTAATTGCTCGCTTTATACTCTAATAAGTTAATTGTAATAAATTTCAACAGACTTAAGCATCATCAAATTTACAAATTACATCCTTTACCCATAGAGATACGTAAAAGAACGACGTGGTAGCCACATGAGTCATATCCAACCT